GAGAGGGAAGTGTACGTGACTGAGCTGGGAAAAATAGATGGAACGTACAGGGAGATGTTTGAGGCATGGAATAGAGAAGAAAGGACGGTCGCTGTACTGGGGCATAAGAGGTGGGTTGAAATGGCCGGAAGGGATATCGTTAGGATAGACAGACTAGGGAAGACATTTTTGAGCCACCTTTGGCAAAGTAGAAAGGAACGATTGGCCATCGGTGATCGGTCCTGTGGGAACAATGCTCCGTCCTCTCGAGGACGCGTGGTCAATGGTCTAACCGCTAAGGCATGCAAAACATAGAGTACGCCCCCCCCAACGCTGCACCATTGCACCAACCCCCCACTAGTGATGACGTTCCATTACAGTGTATCGCTGGTTGGTGGCCATGTTTGCGTGTTTGTGTTTGCTTGTTCGTTAGTGGTGTCTCCTCCGTGTGCCTTTTCCTGTATCTTATTTCTTACTTTTTTCGGCCTGGTCCCTTTTTGTCCTCGCTCTTTTTCATTTTATTTTCTCTTTCATTACTGTTTCCTTTTCTTTTTTTCTCTGTTTTCCCTTTTTCTCTTTTTTTTCTCTCTTTTTCTGTGACAGATGGCCTTGTCTCTGCTTGCGTTGTGAAGTACCAAGATTGAACCAAGGCGGTGTACCTCATTCTCTCCGGCCCGTGATGGTGACTCCTAGTCTCAGTTGTTATCTCGTATCGCGTGCAGAGGGAGTGGAGGACTCCAGAATATCTGTCGTTGATTTCTATTGACTTGCAGACCCCTCGGGGCCAGTCCATTTGAGTGTACCTTTTAGGGTAAGTTAACGTGTGACCACCGGAATCGACCGCGTCGAGTGTTGGATCAGTACGGACATACGAAGGTACTGGGTAGAGAGAGATCGGAACGGTTTTTTATGTGGAGACAACAACAACAATAACAACAACTAAACGTAGGTATATCATTGTCGAACATGTTTGGGTCAGCCAACCTTGTTGGTGGCCACTGATCGTCACATGGTCACTGGGGCGCAAGGCCTTGATACTTGTTAATATAGTTGGCTACGCAATAGACTGTACGTCGCCTCCGCGTGTACGTTCTCTATTCTGCATGCCAGAATATTGTCAATTCTGATAACCTCTCGTATGTCGTGCCGCCAAACGCTGTAGTCTGTAGCAGCTTGTTAATGGTGTGTGGTACACATGCAGCAAGGAATTCGTCGCGGCAACTTCGCCAACGCACAGATTCGGGTGGAAAACACTCTTTTTTTGCAAGTGAGGCTTGCGTTGCATTCAAGTACAAATTTGCACCTTCTGGGGTAATCGACGACCATGAAGCTGTCCCGCTCGAAAGACAGCACCCGCACTGACTCTTGACCACCACGGCATGGTGATACGTCGTTCGCTCTACTCGGGGCAGACGAGCTTCGTTGTATTTCCCGACGTCAACGTCAACGTCAAGACTGGACATGATGGGCCGCGGCAGCGGCGGTAGGCGGGATGAGCGAGGGAGAGGAAGGGGCAGCGGCGGTAGCTTCGACCGCAGCCAGGACGACAGGTGAACAAACCACACAGCCTGGTTGGTGCGATTGGAGCAGTAGCGTTGAGACCCACCCTTGCAAAAGATGCGCCGTGCGTGATGCTCTTCGAAGTAGCGTTTTCGAAGATGAAAATGTGGGGTACTATATGTCAGCCCACCACCCCAGGTCTGGCAATGTCAATGTTGATGTTAAGGATACCGCTCGAAGAGAGGAGAGGTCTTGGCTTTGGGTCGGTGTCGTGCTCGGGCTTTGACCCATGGTATAATATCAAATGCCCGACCGTTGTTTTTTGTGTTCCACCTTTTCGGGTTGAAGCCGACCAAGTGCTGCAAGGCTTTGCAACAACCGCATTTTTTGTTCTATCTGAGAGCACCAAAGCGGTCGCGGTAGACCATGCGTCAAGCATGGTGGGTGCGAGAGGGTGAAATGAAAGTGATTGGGGAGAGTCTGCACGTCCGCACAGATCGGAGATAAACCCCGTCGTGGGTTGTACGCAGTGTAAGGGTCTAGGTGACCAAACGGGTGGTCTGTGGAGGTATTTTGCATAGCTGGATCTGATCGTCAATGTGAGGGGTCAAACTGGAGGCGACGAAGCCAGCACAGAATGTCTCGGTGAACGACCATGCCGTGGCTGGCCCCTCCCACCGTTACAAATACTGTATTTATGATGCTCTCTTCGAACCAAGTGTCTTGGTCTTCAGTTCCAGGACTTTGACAGACACACCCACCTCGATGTTGCGTTTCGACGTACTCTCTCTGCATGACATATATCGTCCGGCGAGAGCAGCTACGGTGTTGTCGACGAAGGTGGCTACAGCGGGACCAATTACGGCAGCCGAGGTGGGTACGATCAAGGCGACCAAGCCCGCGGCGGCCGGGGCTACGGAAGGGCACGGGGACAACCAGGTGGGCGGGGCGGAGGTAGAGGTCGACGGGGCTACTTCACGGATGGTCGAGGGGGGCAGGCCCCTGACTTTGAAGGGGACAGTTTCAATCGCGGCGGTAGGAATTCTGGGCCAGCCGGCGGGAGGGGGGGGGGGCGAGGGAG